GTAAAGGTTAAACCAATATCATAACAATGTTTGAAATTGAAATTCAATACATACTTCAATTATTCGATGGAAAGAACATGATTAAATCCATGAAAATCTAATACCTATTAAACCAATCTCAAAACATATTTATAAGAATAAGAAATCCAAACCTAGAATTGTTTAGCAATGGAAACCATATTACAAGACTGAGAAACATTGAAATAACCGATACCAATCGAGTTCCTCCCTTGCTTCACCAGAGATTTCTAGCCTTCCATGGAGTTTCTTCACTAAGATGAGAAAAAATTGATATGGAGAGGAAGAGTAGTGTTTTCTATCGAGATTAGGGCTTATAATTGAGTGCAAAACGCGTTTCCACAAGCAGGGGCGGATCTGGTATGGGGGCATTGGGGTCAGTTGACCCCACCCCCATACCAGAAATTGCAAGTTTTTCCCAATTTTTTTCAAAATTTTCAAAAAAGTCCTTGTAATTTTTAAGTTTTGCCCCCATGATTAATTTTTTTGGTAATTTGACCCCACAACTCTCCTTGGCTGGCTTCGCTCCTGTCCACAAGTGGTTGTATCAAATTAGGAAACTGAATATTTTAGTACCAGAATGAACCATGCGTACACATGGTTCTAATGGTGCATACACATAGTAGACTTGTTTAAGCCTTAGTGGTGGATTTTTGGAATCTCGCATACGCATAGTATAAATTTTCCTGCTCCGGACAGTTTTTAGTATTTTGACCATAACTTTCTCTCCCAATGTCTGATTGAGGTGATTCAAAGTGTATTAGAAAGATAACTCAAAGGGATATAAATTTTCTTTAGAATTATCTTCTAATTCGATCGTTTTCTAGGTAAAAAATGGGTCTCAATATGAGACTGAAAACAATGCGTAACTTTTTCGATTGGGAATTGATGTATGATCAAACTTTGATGTTATTTCATTCCTTTGACTTATTTTTCATCTGCTTGACCTCTATAACTTTCAAATCTTCATCATAAGGTTAGACACAGGTTTGGAGTATTTGCACTTTGGTCCTTGAACTTTCACTTACTTCTATTTTGGTCCATTTTCGCTCTTTTCTCCTAAGTTTCACATTTTCTACCAAAATGTAACTTGAATCAAAATATAAGTATAATTAGTGCATTTTGATATCAAATAATCACATGAATGCAATAATTAAGCAGGAAAAATGTTATATTTTACACTCTTATCACACCCTCCCAATTTGCTCATTGCTAGTCCTTAGCAATTCAGGGCAGAACAAACAAACAAATGGTTAGATCATGATACAAGTAAAATTATTAAGTTCCAACTTACCGCAATTCTTGTTCTTTTCAAACTCCACACCACAAGAACGTAACGATGCCATGATCATCAAGATATCAAAAACACTTGTCAAATGTGTGAGTGTATATCAAGCCATAGACATCTTACCACCAACCCTAACACATGTAACATCAAGTATGTCTCAAACTAAAGGTTCAGCCCCATAACTCACAGGTATCAAAGTCTTTAGTGTGGTTTTCTCTCTATAGAGCTGAGAAATATATACACTAAGAACATGGAGGCTTAAAATTTACGAACAAGCAACATGCAAATATTGATCTTATGATAGGTATATTTTCAAATGAGAATTCCCCAACTTCTTACCACAATTTTACTAAAGATCAAAACAGCTAATGCAAGGAGGTGAAAAGGGTTAAGTTGGGTTATATGAAAAGTAAGGCAGAAAGAATTGAAGGACTTTCAAGTATCTAGCTAGGCATCTCAACAAGTATTTCGACATATCAATACTTTACATCTATGCATTCCTCAATCTTTCAATTCCCAACAGCAATTCACTTTTTTTTTCCTTTTTTTTTTATCAATTTTTCTTTTTTTTTCTTTTGAAATTCCCCTTCTTCTTCTTTTAAGATTCATCACTTTACCTGAGCATTTATTAACTCTTATTGCTTTTCTTCGTTACTTTTCTTCTTAAATGGCATTCAATACCTATTATATACTTGGAAGCAGAAAGGTTTCAAAAATGAATGTTTATAGACTTTATTCCATTGTGAGAGGTATGGAGAACATAGGCTCATGAAAAAAAACGATTGTACATGTGTATTGGTTCAAAGTGGCTACTAGGGGATTATAATTATAAAAAAGAAAAAAAATAAGTCTGAAGGCTCAAATTCTATCCTAAATTGACTGTTATCATTTTCCAAGTATAATTCACTGTCTTACCACTGACGTTATGTTAACTTAATTCCTCATTTGTATTGGATGAGATGAATCATGTGCTTTATTTATTTTTAATTCAAGATAAGTAATTTAGTTTAATTCTTGTGTTTCTTGATTAATTTTGAATTTTCATTGCACTAATGAATTGTTTGCCATCAATTGAATAGTTAATTGCTTGTTGTAGTGTAGGAATACTAGGGTTGTCAATGAGCCGAGTCGAACCGGCTTGCAAGCCAAAACTCAAGGCTCGGGCTCGGCTCGAGTAAAATGGGGCGAGCTTTTTACAGGGCCGAGCTGAGCAAAAGCTCGGTAAAAAAACTGGGCTCGACCCGAGCTTTCGGCTCGGGCCTTACTGAGCTGAGCCAAGACGGCTTTTTTTCTATTATTTTTATTATTATTAACAAATCTGACATTTTTTTTAAAAAATTTAAAAATTGTACAAACTTATACGAATCATATATTAAATAAAAGTTACAACTCTTCTCTTTTTTTTTTCAGCCTGAAAAATCCATCTATAACTATTATAATAAAAGATAATGAATATTAGAATAAAGAAATTGAAGTTGAAACTACAATATTTCAAGTTGAAAATTATTGAAGCAAAGTGATAGAAAATTCAAAATTTTTTCTCTATATTTATAGCCAAAAATAAATAAATAAATAAAATTAACTTAACCAACTTTAAATTTCATATTTGAAATTCGAAAATTTGGATGCCAACTAGATGTAGCTACTGCTGCCTTAACAGGCAGCTATATTAGCAGGCAGCTCACAGTAGTTATACTGTTGCCTGTTTCAAGGCAACTATACATATTTTTTTTTATTTATTTTATGGCCTTAGTCAGTTATAGTAATTTTTTTTGATTTTTTTTAATTTTCACGGGGCCGGGCAGGCTCGAGCTGATGCCTCAAAATGGGGCTCAGCTCGAGCCACGAGATGAACGGGCTTGGGCTTTTCTCGAGCCGAACCACGAGCCGCCCGAGCCGACGAGCCTTTTTGACACCCCAGAGGAATGCTCACAATGAGTCTAGAACGTGGCAAAATTAACATACGTAGTTAGAATTAGAAATAATCTCTTTCAAACATGCAATCATATAGATAACTTGAACTAAATGCATGATTACATATGAATTTAGACTAGGAATAGGATCAGGTCATGTTAATCATAGGTTCGTGTGTCTTGGAAAAGACCATTGAATAATTTAGCATTATCGATTGTCAAAAACACATGAATGGAATTAGATTACAAATCAAGAATTGAAATAGATAGCAATAGGCGGAGTCGATATCCAGTACAATCCTCCATAATTTGATAAAATCCCAACTCTTACAGGTTTCTTAGATTAGTTTAGTATAAATCAAATCAAAATATTTCTTTTGTTTTTATAATTCGAATTCCATACGAAATTATTAAACTTGAATTAAACTTATTCTTTGTGGGACGATGATTATTAACTCATCAATTCTATTACTTGTCAACGATCCAGTACGCTTGAGGGTATCACACGAACAAGTTTTTGGTGCCATTGTCGGGAATAAAGTTTTAGTTTGAGTTTATTAGTTTTATTGGATTTGATTTTTTTATTTATTGTTTTATTTTTCTTTTTGTTCTTCTAGGCTTTAATTGTGATACATGATTTCCTCTTATTTTACTCTTTGTAGGTTTTTACTAGTTATATAAGATCTTGACGTGATCGAAAGGAGCTTCAAGCAACGCCAAAGAGAACAAAAAGAACGAGGGTAATGGCTGAGAACCAAGATCATAATCAAAATGCACTACGGAATGCAATACTTTCGATTCAGCAACCACCTCCGGCTCAGCTTATATTGGTTAGGGATTATGTAAATCCAGTACCTGCACCGATTCAGTCTCCTATTATCTATCCAACCTTCAGACAAGCCAGCTTTTGCATCCGGCTAGATGCCATAAATCCCTGTCAAAATCATCAAGATATCAAGTTCAGTGGGAAAGCTATGGAAAATCCACGCGAACACATTCAAGTTTTTACCATGCTATGTGATGTAATTAGCTATGAGGGAATATCATAGGATACATTCCGAATGCGTTTATTCCCTCACACTTTAAAGGAGGATGCGAAAATATAGATGATGTCACAACCTCCTGAGAGCATTGTATCGTGGAATGACATGGTACAAAAATTTACCATGAAATTCGTCCTACTGTCTCGAGTCCAACAAAATATATCTTTTCAGATAGAAGGACCATGAGACATATCCAAACGCATGGAACAGGTTCAAAAGCGCATTTCGGAAGTGTCCAAATCTTAATATTCCTAAACTGGCGTAAATATATCTATTCTACAATGGACTATGCTCTGAATTTCGTAATATCGTAGATGCTTCTACGGGCGGATCAATTTTGACAATCGAGGTAGATGATGCATATAATCTAGTTGAAATAATTGCAAAGAATTAGAACTGGCTATCGGATAAGGAAGCTCCTAGGAAAATAGCTGGTTTATATAATGTGGATATAGTAACAGTGTTGACAGCACAGATGGAAGCAATAACGAAGAAGCTTGACACTTTAACTCAATCTGTGCACATGGTACAGCATCCAGCCCCAGTGTGTGCAGGTTATGAGGCATATCACATCACTTCATGCTGTCCTCTGACTTCTACTCACATGGGTCAGCCAGCATAGGTCAATTATGCGTAGAACTATCAGAGCAAAATGGACCTTACCCATACAACTACCATTCGGATTTGAACAAGTATCCTAACTATGTGTGGGTGGATAATTCAGATTAAGTAAATTAGATGAGGGGCAATCCACCAGTGATTCGACAACAACAAGACAAGAGGCAATCCTTGGAGGATCTACTTGCAAAGTACATCACCATGACTGAGATGGTAATGCAGAATCAACAGGCTTCTATACATAACTTAGAAAATCATATGGGACAGATAGCAGCTGCATTAGCCAACAAACCACAGGGTGCCTTGTCGAATGACACAGAGAAGAACCCACGGGAGCAGGTATTAGCAGTTGAGGTGGTAAATTATGCAACTATTGAGCTCCCATCACTCACATCCACCATCCCTGTCAAGGCTTATGCGCCACCTTTTCCATTCCCTCAAAGACTCCAACGCCAGCCAACAGTGGAGCCTGTTCAAGCCATCACTACTAAGAGTGGTGTTCAATTGCCTGAAATCACTACAAAGAGGAAGGAGATAGAGAGAACTCAAACGCCTGGTAAGGGTAAGGAACCAATGGAGCAGTCTGAAGAAGCAATAGAAAAGGGCCAACTGATAGTTTCAGACAGTCAACAGCTTAAGACAAAGGTTCCTAGCACTTCACCGATACATCCAGTCCCTTTTTCTCAAAGGTTGCAGAAAACCAAGTTGGAAAAGCAAGCTATGAAATTCCTAAAGGTCCTCAAAAAGCTGCATGTTAACATCCTATTCATTGACCCTATAATTCAAATCCCAAATTATTCTAATTTTTTGAAAGAGATGCTGACTAAAGAGATGAAGATGCCTGAGCATGAAACAATAATACTATCTAAAGAGTGCAGCATGATCATCCAGCACAGGATCCATCCTAAACTAAAAGATCCAGAGAGTTTCACTCTACCCTGCTCCATAGGAAACTTACAAGTTATTAATTGTTTAATAGATTCAGGAGCAAGTATTAACTTAATTCATTTGTCTCTTTATGGAAATTTGGGATTGGGAGATCCTAAGGAGGCTTCTATCATCCTTCAGCTGGCGGACAGTTCGCTTAAACATTCCTATGGAATAGTCGAGGACATGCTCATCAAGATGTGAGAATTCATTTTTCTAGCTGATTTTATCATTCTAGACATAGAAGAGGCATCCCAGATGCCAATAATCCTAGTAAGGCCATTCCTGTCAATAAATCGAGCATTGCTGGATTTTGACGCGAATGAAATAGTCCTGAGGGTGGAGGATAAGAAAAAAAGCTTCACTATGGAGAATCCACACAAGCAGCCCTCCTACTTTGTGGATTGTCAAAGAGTGGACCTTTGGGAGAGCTACAAAGGCATGCCAAATATAGGTGGAATTGTTGGTAGAGGTAACAATGGAAACCTGATTATGAGGAGAGTTAAGGGTGAACCAAAGAAGTGCAACCAGTGCTTAAAATTCTAGACTGAAAATTCTCTTTTCAAGGCACCATGAAGAAGCCTAAAAACAACAAAGTCTAGCAAAAGACTATAAATTAAGCGATTGTTGTGAGGGAACCCAATATTTTTATTTTTTTCCATTTTATGTATTTAGATTTTATGCATTAGTTAGAATTTTTCGTGTTGTTGTTTGTTTAAATTAGTTAGATATATTCATCCATACATTAGATTAGTTATTATTTTTTATTAGGGACTCATCATTCATTTGTAGTTTCCTCTTAGATCCATGAGATTTAGTTGGTTTATTAGATGTTTGGGCTAAGTAACATATGTTCTTGGTTAATTGATCTCTAATGTTTGATTTGACCATCATACGCAGGAACATGACGTCGCGGAATACTCAGACTAACATAGACCAACGGGGAAAACATGATGAAGGAGAATGTCTAGCAGTCACCCAAAGTACCTTCCACGTTCAATGGAAAAGTCCAAGGACTACTTTCTTCCTTTCCTTCTTTTCCTTCCCCCTCCCCTTATATTCTCAATTATGCTTTAAGACATTGGAGACAATATCGAGTTTAAGTTTGAGGGCGGGAAAAACTTTGAGTTTTTTTTTTCTTTTTGTATGTTTTGTGTTTAAAAAAAAATAAAAAAATTGTTAAATTTTATTTATGTTCTTGCATGTTTTGTTTTAGTGTTGATTTATGAATTGTCGATAAGATGCATGCTAGACTAATTGAAGCTTAACCTTACAAACTTTGATATTATACATGGACTAGAATTGAGTTTGACATTATGATGAAATGAGTTGATTCATATACTTGATAGGTTGATTTAATCGGACATAGGTGCTTTACCCATACCATAAAATTATTTATCTTTGGACCAAATTTAGCACATTTTGGGGGTGATTTTGCTGTTGTAGAAAGATATGGATGTGAACAGGGATTCCATGTGTGAAATTTATTTGTGAATTTTCTTAGACTAACAGGATAAAATTGGGTGAAAGTCTTAAGTTGGAGGTCGATTTGATTAAATAGGTGTGTGATAAGGAGTATTATACTGATCAAGACATATATTTTGAAATTTAAAATTTCTCTCTAAAGCCTTTATGACTCGAGCAATTAAGTCTGTAAGGGTATCTTAAAACTTGATGCCCTAAAGTTGTCTGACTTAGGAGTTATCGACCTAAAGTTCGCTACATGGGTCATTTAGAAAGAAATTAGAGATGAAGTTTCACTTGGCAAAAATATTGTTCTCTTCGAAGCCTATTTTACTCGGGTTATTAAGCCTATAAGGGTATCTAAAAGCCTGACGCCCTAAAGTCATCTGATTTGCGAGTCATCGGCCTAAAGCCTGCTACATAGTCATCTAGAAAGTTTTAGGAAAAGAATGAAAAAAAATCCTTTGAAAATCAGAAAAAGCAAGTGCATGAAAAAAGCAAAAAGCATTAAATGCCTTGTTCAGTCCCACCCAACACTTGTTCAAGAGAATTAGACTTTCAATGAAGGATAATAGTCTAGTTGAGTCTTGGCGGTCGAATTGAAACAATCAAATAATTGGAGAATCCTTATTCACTAATATGTTGACTTGCAATTAGTACGTCCATCTAAACTAGAGATGTGAGGATAGTTATGAAAATTCAACCTTAGATCACATGTTGGGAAATGAGTGAAAAGATGAAAGGATATATTTGACCACTAAGGCCCGAAAATTGAAACTTGTGAAGTTATTAATGTCTACTTAATTTTTCACACACACACACACACACATCGGCTTTGCATTGAAAATGTGGAAATTGGTTTGGTATTGTGACTTTGAAGCGGTTTATAGATTTAATAGGGTAATCTCAAATCCTGAGGTAAAATGCTAGATTGTCCAACCAAATATTTTTGTATGCTTGTATGTTTGTTATTATTTAGGTTATATTTTTGTTTGAGGACAAACAAATGTTTAAGTTTGGGGTATTTGATAAGTATATTTTATACACTTATTCGGTACCTAAAATAATGATATTTGGTAGTTCTTTTGATATAATATATTCTAAATTGTTCTGTTTTACGTTTAATTGGTGAAACTCCACAAATAAAAAGGACTTGAAGGAAAGAAGCATAAAATGGGTGAAAATGGTAAAATCTAAAGTGCGTGGATTAATTTGGCCAATGGATGAAAGTTGGAGATTAAATTTCATAATTTAAAAAGACTAAGGACTTGCAGGATAATATGAATTAATTGCTTTGAATTGGAGTCCTTTGGAAAGTCAAACTTAGCTGCTAGGTTAAATATATATACAAAAGACGCACAGAAATTTGGGGCTGCTGTTATTAATGTATATTCACGCAAATTGAGGGCAGCCAGGGGAGAAATGGGGTAATTTTGTTCATCAAATTGGTCGACTGATTGCACGTATATATATACACACTTACCGAGAAATAAGGGTGGCTTTGGTTGACAGCAATCATATAGATAACTTTGGTTGTGTAGTTAGAATTAGGAATTATCTCTTTCACACATGCAATCATATAACTAACTTGAACTAAATGTGTGATTTTCATACGAATTCAGACTAGGAATAGAATCAGGTCGTGTTAATCATAGGTTCGTATGCCTTGAAAAAGAGCATTGAATAATTTAGCATTATCGATTGTCAAAAACACATAAATGAAACTAGATTATGAATCAAGAATTAAAATAGATAGAAATAGGCGAAGTTGAAATCCAATATAATCCTCCGTAATTTGATAAAATCCTAACTTTTACAGCTTTCTTAGATTAGTTTGGTATAAATTAAATCAAAATATTTCGTTTGTTTTCATAATTCAAATTCTATACGAAATTATTAAATTTGACTTAAATTTATTCTCTGTGTGACGATAACTCTTAACTCATCAATTTTATTACTTGTCAACGATTTCGTACACTTGCGGGTATTACACGAATAGAGCCTTCAGACTTCAATGAAGCAACAAATTCACAGGTTCAGATGGTTGCAATGAAAAAGGAGCTAAGTATGATAGAAAAGAATGAAACCTGGCTGTTGGTTGATAGACCAAAGGATAAAAATGTGATTGGAGTTAAATGAGTGTTCAAAGCTAAGCTAAACTCTAATTGTTCAGTCAACAAACTCAAAGCCATGTTAGTTGTGAAAGGATATGCTTAGCAATATGGCATTGATTTCACAGATACAGTTGCTCCTATGGCCAAGTATGGAACAATCAGATTGTTGTTGCCATTGCTGCTCAAAGAGGCTTGAGAATACATCAATTGGGACAACCTTCTTAAACGGATATTTAAATGAAGAGATTTTCATTGATCAACCAGATGGTTTCCTAGTAATTGGAGAAGAGGATAAAGTGTATTTGTTGAGAAAGGCCTTGTATGGATTGAAGTAGGCTCCAAGAGCCTGGTACAGCAAAATTGATGAATACTTAGGCTGCCTTGGCTTCATCAAAAATGTTAATGAGCAAACACTTTATATAAAGCAAGTGGAGGAAGAATTTATCATCATTTCCTTGTATGTTGATGACCTTCTAATAACAGGTAGCAATCAAGCTTTAATTGACAGAGTGAAAGGTGAAATGAAGATGACATTTGATATGACAGATTTGGGGAAAATGCTGTATTTTCTTAGTTTGGAAATAAATCAAACACAAGATGGAATTTTTGTCTATCAAAGGAGATATTGTAAGGAAATTTTGAAGAAATTCAGCATGGAGAATTGTAAACTAGTGAGTACTCCCTTGGTACAAAATTTAAAGCTGATGAAGGAATATGGAAGAAAGAAATCTAATGAAAAGGTTTATAGAAGTTCGGTGGGAAGCTTATTGTATTTAACAATCATAAGACTAGACATCACCTTTGCTGCAAATATGCTTTCCTAATTTAGACAAGAGCCAAGTGAATTACACTTCCAAGCTACACAGAGAGTCTTAAGATACACCAAAGGGAATGGAAAGATGGGAATCTGGTTTAGGAGGCCATAAACTTTGGATTTAACTGGCTATACTGACAATGATTGGACTGGAACCTTTGATGATATGAAAAGCACTTTTGGATATGTATTTTATCTGGGATCAAGTGTTATTTGTTGGAACTCAATGAAATAGAAAATGGTGGCTCAATGAACAGCAGAGGTAAAGTATGTAGCTGCATCAGAAGCAACTAACCAAGCAATCTGGTTGATGAAAGTGTTGGAAGGTCTTAACCACAAATAAGCTGATGCAACCGTTATTTACTGTGATAATCAATTAACTGTTGCAATGGTTAAGAATCCAGTGTTCCATGGAAGAACAAAGCACATCAAGATCAAGTATCATGCAATCAGGCAAGCACAAGAAAATCATGAAGTGAAGCTAGTGCACTGCAATGCTGAAGATCAATATGCTGACATTTTAATTAAATTCTTATCAAAAAGAAGGTTTAAAAGAGAGAAAATGCCTTGGTGTTTCCAACAAAAGTGTCAAGGAGGAGTATTGACATTGGTTATCACTTTTGCTATACCAAAGTCTAGTATTTTTGTGTATTTAAATCAAGTCTATGTAATTGTATTTTTAGTGATTAAAATATCTATAATGATATGGTCTTGCATTGTTATAGAAATGCCGTCAACAAGTAAGGTTGTAGTAGGTGGGAGTTGTTGACTAAAAGCATGGTTGAAATCTTTTGCAATACATATATATGCTC